CCCCAAAACCCCAAAACCCCAAAACCCCGAATTTTCCCCCCAAAATTGAAAACAACTAAATTTCTAAAAAAGTTTTTTCATCAAAAACTCAATCAAACGACTAATAGTCAGTCTTTTAGCTTCCTCGAAAGTGCAGCAGCGCTGGATAAGAGTTTTGTACGGGATTTTGGAGAGAAAAGAGGATATCTCCAAGTCGCCTGTCTCTGTGTCCCATATTTCAGAAGGCTTTGTCACTAAAAGATTCACATATTCCAAATCAGATATTTTTGGCAAGAATCTCTCTTCTGTAAAGATAGATATCATCATAACTCCAGCTGAATAACCCAAGGAAGACTCTGACAGCTTCCTAGATAGGATACATTCTGGGCTGAATAATCTCAACTTTGGAAGATAGTTAAATAAACTTTCAGGAATATCAATTGGGAAGGATTCATCTTGGCCAACTTCGATTATATCTGAAAATCCACATAATTTACACTCTAGGCTTATCTATATGTTTTAAGCAAGATTTACTGGTGCTTTAACCACTAAAATATTGTCTGGATCAATGCAAGCAAGCTTATAAGTAATCACTTGTTCATCGGTTGTTCTAGATTGAGCTTTTTCTAAGAATTCCAAAGAGTGCAGGATTTGTACAATAAGCTGAGACTTAGATTTTTCATTAATTTCAGCCAATTTTCCCTCTCTCATCAAATCTCCAAGAGTTATAGTCGTATAGTACTCATAAACAATGTATACCAATGGGTAGAGCTCTAGGTAGACACCAAGTTGATTTACAAGACCTATATGAGGATTTTGTGAGTAAAACATGAGCTCAGCTATGCATTTCTTCTTCATATCTGTGTCAGAGACATTGTATTCCTTGAGGAATACCTTCCTACCACAATAAGTTCCATAAAAACAAGCATGACTGGTTGTCTTCTTCTGAGGCAAAGTGAGTAAAGTCAAGTTGTGTATCTCCTCAGGAGAGATATCCCGATATTCTTTGAATTCTTCAATACCAGCATGATTTCTCAAATGCTTTAGGTCAGCAGAGAGTCTGTGACTTCCTAAAAATTGAGAAGGATCCTTTGAGAGATCGTCTTGGGATGTGTCTTTCACTGCTCTGGGGATATTAGTCATTAACCTTCCACCTTCTTTGTTGGCATGGTAAGGTATTTCCTTACTTCCGTACGTCAAGTTTTTGACCTTCACTTCTTCAACTTTATCTGGAGTTTCAATGATTTCTCTAGAGAAATCAACAGATGAGGCATTAGGCTCCTCCTGGATGGTACTAAAGCCTGCTTCAACATGCTTCTGCTCTTCGAGGGTAACTTCTGCTTCATATCGTTGCTCAAACTGATCTATAAAAAGAGCGATTAGCTTAAAAGATTTGTAATTCCGATCCAATTTACTCTATTTCTTAAACCCGACAGTCAAATATGTTAAAACCAAGTGAAGAGCCAAAGGTCTTACCTTCCTGAGCCTGAGCCAGACTTTTATCTGGACTGTTGTACTTCTCTAAATTATCTTGCTCTTCTTCAGGCTGTAAGACTTTCTTCTTTTTCTTCTTCTTTTTACGTCTTTTTACCTGAGTTTCCATCTCTGAAGGCTCAGGTTTCTGATGCTCTTCGCTAAAATTAAGTCTTTGAGTTTACTTTGCTCTCTTAAATCTTGGGTTATAGGTGGTCAGCTCATGATGTGCTTCTGTCTTATTTAATAGGAAGAATTTACCTTTATTTATAATATACATGGAATAATCCTCCTGATTAAATATTATTATTGCAAGAATGTTGAGTATCAAGCCCTCCAGATCTTTTAAACTTCTCAACATCATAATCATCTCTGATATCTTCTGCTCTTTCATATGCAGGTTCAGGCTCGATGTCTATGCTTCTTATCCATAAAGTTTACCTATTTCAAAGTCCATATTTAATATAAGTTTTAGATTTTTAATAGGTTTTGGGGTTTTGGGGTTTTGGGGTTTTGGGGTTTTGGGG